GGGAGCCGGTGCGCGCTGGCCGGGTGCGTGCCACGCTGTTCCTGCCGCCTGGTGAGCCTTCGCTGTCTGTCCTAACCGTTCTAGTCTGCAGACCCCTTGTCCTGGCATTTTACACAGAGGAGGGAGGTGACTCCCAGCGTTCCAGATGTCCACGTCAAGGACACGGGAATCCAGGGGAAGGCGGGGTAGGAGGTGGCCTTGTGGCTCCAAAACTAAGAAGTCTTTCCAATCCAATGCATAGTTGAAAGAAAAGTGGCCAGCCATATGGTATAAGGTTAAGGTGGCTGGATCCCATGTGGCAACTGTGTGGTTGGAATCACAGACCCACGAATTGAAAATCACGCTGGAGGTTGAGTGCATGTCCAAAATCCCCAGAGGAGAAGGGATTGTCTGGTGGCCAGTCTCCTCTGTGGGTGTTTCTCTCTCTGTCCCTCTCGCTCCCTCTCTCTGGTGAGCACATGTGTCTATAGCAATAACTAAAACTATTTGATAAATAATAAAAGAAGGAATAGGAAAAGACTCTTAGAGTGAAAAAGAGAGTCATTTGTAGGTAACTTCAGCTTTTAAATTTCCTTTGAGAAGTTTCTCAGTTTTACTTCAGCTCCCACAGGATGTAAAGGTTTGTATAAATTACCATTTATAATAGCAGGTAGGCCTCTTGCTGTTAACTAGAAATCTTTCAAGATTATTGGATATATTTACATTATTTAAATTAAAAAAAGAGATGCTTATCATTAAAAATCAAGAAAATGCAAAGTAAAATCAGTACATTTTGTACCCTCAGACGCAGCAAAAACTGGCTAGCAGGTGGGATGGCAGTTAAGGCGCTGGATTCTCACATGGGTGATCCCAGTTTGAGTCCTAGACCCGACGGTTTGAAAAATCACACCAGGCATGTGTAGGAGTGTGTCTAAAATCCTGGGAGAATGGAGGAAAAGGAATTGCAATATGGCCATCCTCCCTGAAGGGTGATTTCTCTCTTTTCTCCTCTCTCTCTCCTGTGAGCTCAGGTACCCTATGGAAAATAACTAAAAAAGAAAAAAAAATGTTGCAGTTTTGCTGCTATTGTTATTGCCAGAGGGTGCATGTGCTCACCAGAGAGAAAGAGACAAAGAGAAAGTACCCCCAATGGAGTGGCCATATTGTAAAACCCCCTCTTCCATTCCTCCTTTCCATCAGGATTTTGGGCATTCATGCACATGTACTCAGCGTGTTTATCATTTGCCAGGGTCAGGCTTAGAACCATAGTTGGCCATGTGGGATCATGTTCCCAGTGCATAGCACTCAAATATTGTGCTATGGAGTCGCCCTGTTAATTATATTTAACCTCAAAAGTAATACATGTTCTTTATAAAAATCTGTGGGGTTTGAGGCACTGAACATTGGGGGAAATAGGAATGTGGACTATGCCAGTCTCAGGATGTTTGAAGGCCAGAAGTCCTTCGGCATTTCTGATTGTAATAAAACACTTTGACATCACCAAGTAGACAAGGAATGACTTTTGACACCATTGCAGAGTTTTAGGAAAACGGTGTTTTGTTTCTTCCCAAGAACCTGGACCCTTTCCTGGAATTGTGGACATTTTTGGAGTTGGAGGTGGCCTTCTGGAGTATCGAGCTAGTCTGCTGGCTGGAAAAGGTTTTGCTGTGATGGCTTTGGCCTATCATAACTATGAAGACCTCCCCAAGGGAGTTGAGACCCTCCACCTAGAGTACTTTGAAGAAGCTGTGAACTACTTGCTTAATCGCCCTGAGGTGAGATCTTCTCTAAGTCTTATTGGCTACATGTCAGGTCCCTCTTCATACACGCACTTGGTTTTCACAGAAGTTGGCCCATTCATGAGAGCCACTCCCTACCCAGACACCGCTACTGAGTCATTTCTCATAGACAGTTTCTCTGCAATTCTGTACTGCTATATTTCCTGCTGTTAAAGATATTTTTGGGACCAGCAGATGGCATAATGGTTACATCACTGGACTCCCACATAGTAGACTGCAGTTCAAGTCCTGAACCTGGTAGCTTAAAACTCACACTGGGCACGTGTGTGTATGCGCCCAAAATCCAGAGAGGAGAATGGAAGAGAAGGGATTGCAGCATGGCCATCCTCTCTGGAGGATGATTTCTTACTTTCTGACTCTCTGTCTCTCTGGCAAGCACACATGCCTAATAGCAAAAATCTCTCTAAAAAATAAATAAATAAATAAATAAATAAATAAATAAATAAATAAATAAATAAATAAATAAATAAATAAATAAATAAATAAATAAATAAATAAATAAATAAATAAATAAATAAATAAAAACAAATCTTTTAATGTGGACCAGCAGATGGCATAATGGTTATGTTGCTGGATTCCCATGTAGTCAACTGTGGTTCAAATCCTGGACCTGGCAGCTTTAACTCACACCAGGGGCATGTGCATGCCTGCCAAAGATTCCCAAGAACAATGGAGGAGAAGAGATTGCAGTGTGGCCAGCCACCCGGGGAGGTGATTTCTTGCTTTCTGTCTCTCCATCTCTCTCTAGCTCTCTGGCAAGCACACACATTCTATAGCAAAAATCTCTCTTAAAAAATATACAGGGGTAGAGAACCAGCAGTTAGTGTAATGGCTATGTCGCTGGACTCCCACGTAGTTGACCACTGTTTGCGTCCCGGACCTGGTGGCTTAAAACTCACGCTGGGCGCGTGTGCATGCATGCCCAAGATCCCGAGAGGAGAATGGAGGAGAAGGGATTGT